AGTCCCTGTGGATTTGTGGCATGTAGTAAGTGGAGGAAGTCGTCTGTAGATGTTAGCAAGTGTTGAATATATGTATTGAGCAATGTCAGTAACATAGGTAATTTAGGACTGTGGATTGCCGCACTAGGACTTTGGTCAAATTTGTTTGATACAGAATCATTCCTGCAGTTCGTTGTTTTGTAAATACGTGTTCTACCTTTACTTCAACAGTCAAATTATTCAAATGTTGCATTAAAGCTGCTTATTACAGAAATAAAACTTTGGCACATTTATTTTTAGTTGTATAAAAAAATATATTTTGTGTCTTTTACTTTATATAAATGTTTGAATCTTCCCATTGCTTTATTTTTCCATTTTATTCTTTCAAAAATACGTTTTCAGACTTTTCCGTTCGTTCAGCTTTATCTGAAGATCTCGAGCGTTATCCATTCTTTACATTACATGGTGAGAATAATGTCGCAATATACTGCTAACGCTACTGTGATAATGTCAGAAATTACAATTATAAAATGTATCCACTATGTCAGTATATACAAAAAGTAAAAAACAAAAACAATGTCACTATACATCTATGCCAATTACAGCTTCAAGTCAAAATCTATATATGGCAATATAACAAAAGTGAATAGTAACCACCACTAGTTGTGGTGGACAGAATAAGTCCATATATGATTATTTCAATTTTCCACTGCTGAAACATTATAACTGGTTACTCTATCTATTGTAGCTGCTCGTCACCTAATGGTACAACATCACAAGTCGAAGTTTTTCATATATTTACACTTGAAAATATGCGTAGTGTATACCTTGCTTATCAAAATACAATCGACACAGATAGATTTCACTAATTTTCTAAGGAAACTTGCTGCTTTATTTTCCTGTATACAATCTTAATAGTGAACGTCCTGTCTAAATATAAAAATCTAAACTACTTTCTCTCCGTGTTTACAAAGAAAACAAACGTCCGAGAACAATATCACAAGTAACAATTGTTATGATGCGAGTCTCTTTTCAGTTTACGAAGCATGATTGAGCGGATTGAGCGAAAAGCGTCGTCGGCAATGGATACCGCAACCATTGTCTAGTTGTAATATTATTATTATACATTTTTTAATTCTTGAAAATCCTTAAGGAATTATAGATATAGAATGCTGTATTAAAACTATAATAGGCTTAATACTAATGTCTAATCACAAGTCAATTAATATCACAAGTATGTTAATCATATTTTTAATTAACATTGAATCATCATCAAAGCATTGTGTTTTAAACACATTTAAAACTATCTCTGACATACGTCGGCACCATATCGTATCTTCAACAGGAAAAAGGCAAATTTCACATATAGCGATACCCGCAGTGAAGCGATATCTTTAAGTTATAACGTTCTTTATCACGTGACTAGCTCAAGTCGCTCTACCTATTTAAGTAATTAGCGTGAGGTTTATTCAATATTGAAGTAATCTTGAATGAAAATAGCTTTGAATCTAGATCTCCAGTAATAGAGACCATCCATTGTGGCAAGTGTATATCAACACACTGTGTTTGTGAAGTCAATAATGTTTGTTTATTATGATTGTCCACTTGTTTCCAGTTCCTCTTTATTTTATACGAATTCATTCAGTCCGAGAATACAGAATTACTTCATGATGATTATCTTGAAGAACTTTTTATTTTTCTGCTGGCCTAATTTATCACTTTTATGGGATATGTAGTTTCATCTGAGAATACTACGCATGCATGCAACAAATCCAATTAAACTATACACTACGCTGTATGTCCTCTAACTCTGATTGTCTCTGTTGGTTAATCAAAGATGATGAAATCATACTGTCTTTTTTTCATACATTTTGCTTAGGTCGATAAAAAATATATATTTACCAGAGAAGCACTAGAAACATTTTCGAGATTTTTTTTCTTTTCTGTTAAATATTGTTGCTATCTGCTCGTTTGTTAATTTCCGGTATAAATTCCTTCCGAGGAAGTTCAACGATACCAGTCCTTTCTTAATTAAAACTAGTTTACTTTTTCTCGATACAACTTTATAATACACAGAATTTCCACAGTCAATATGTTTGCAATCTCGATAACAAAACACACACTTTATATTACCGTCACTACCGCTCGCTTGACTCAATTATCTGTCTCTATATCTATCTATCTGCAATTATTTCTCCGCTTTATTTGCCGGGATTATATATTAAAAAAGAGGGCGCCTGGAACAGACTAGAGTTGCCAGAAAAATTCAAGAATCTTCGAGAATCTCATGACGTGTTACTAGCGTCACGTGACTTCTGCTGTCGTAACAGTATCATAAGTAAATAGATAGTTTTATTTTGGCTAATTGGTCCCAGTTATGCCTTACAAAATATTTTGTATCGCTATATAAAAGAGCAACAAAAATAAATGCATGCTTTTAGATAACTTTATTAAATGTTTTGTTTATGGCAAAGCTATTAAGACTATATGCCGCTCTCCCTAATTTTGAATTACCGATCAGAGTGAAGATAATCGCTGGCAGCAGCCATCTTCAGCTCTTATGCTACTCTTTTACAATGAATAACGGGATTGACCATCACCTTTAAGGAAGAGCATGTCAGGTTCCGGATTTCGATCCCGCGTCCAGCAGATTACAAGTCGAATGCCTTAACTATCAGGCCATTTATTCATTACATTTTAGTAATAAATATTTATATTGAGATTTGCCACCCATTTTATTGTTCTTTCATTTATAAAGCTTGCAGCTTGATAGTTAGGACGCTGTATTTGTGTGATCAATACCCGTCGCTAAGTATGCTCGCCCTTTCAACCTTGATAATCCCACTATTCACTGATAAAGAGTTAGCGGTGGATGGTGTTGATCAGCTGCCTTCCCTCT